TGCAATTATTTCTAACGTTTCAGGAAAGACAGCTTTTAAAAATAACACAGAAACAAAAAAAATTAATTAAAAGTGAAATTATAAAGCAGGTCAGAACTTTAAAGTGTTTTTAAATAGTATGAAGAAAAATTTAGGTCACTTTAAAGAACTGAAAGGTTCTTTAAATCAATGGCTTGTGGATTAGCTAAATATTTCTAAATAATTTTGATATATTTTTAAATCTCTTTTGTCTTGTTTTGAAATGTCAGAGATAAGGAAAACCAAGCCTTTGGGGAAATTTATCATTAATTTAAATAAATAATATCTAATAGTATTATATTTTACTCAGAATTATTAACAATAGAAATAAACTCTTTTAAACCATATTCTCTCTTTAAATTATAATAAAATGTAATTTTTAATGCCAAGTAGCATTTGAAATACTAGTTATATTCTTTGGTGAGACTTAACATCATCCTAGCATATAAAAGTCAAAATATAAAATAAATTTATCTAATTTGTTATTATTTTACTGGTTTGGAAGATTATAATATCCTTTTCCTTTCATAACTTTAACAAGTTTCTAAACTTTTTTTCCCAGTATGCTCAAGTATAGCATACCTTTGACATTCTTCTCCATGTGATAAAGATTAGCACTGGCAATTGTCAAGAGGAAATAAGAAGGAAAAAGCTGAAATCTGGATATTAGCTTTTCCTATTTTGGCTCATAGACAAAGAAACCAGAAACAAATTTGCATAAAATTCTACCTATGTTATAGTTTTCCTCTTCTTTGCATTGTATGCATGATAGTTAAACATCACTGAACCTTTTCAATACAATTCTACTTCCCCTTTCACAGATGGCGAGAACCATCCCCTGAGGTTGAGGCCACGTGTGTATGCGAGTATGCATGTGTGTAAAAGCCCTGGCAAGTGTGTTTGTGTATATAAAACGCACAGTTTGAGTTTTCAGAAGCTTCTCTTCTTCAACGGCTTCAATTTAGGTGACTTCAGGATAAATTTAAAAGTCATTGTTACTTCCCTTTTATTTCTATGATATTAGAAAGAAATGACTCCTTCACTTAACACCTTGAACTTTCTAAATTTCTAGACCAAATAAAACACCTGAAGTGTCTCCTCTCCTAGTCTTTACCTTAATAGTAATGCCTGACATAAAGGTGACAATAGAGAAACATGATGGT